TTTCGTCATTCTTGCATATCAAGTTGCTAACTGGAAGCCCAGATAACCGTTATATGTATATCTGCTGCCTACACCAGATGCCTTGAATGTTGACCGTTCCTCATCAGACGATAGCAGAGAAAGAAAGAAGGTGTGACATTGCAAGCTAGTTACAGCTAACGTCTGTACCGTCAGATTTTTAGGTGGAATAAATGCAGACTGTACACTCCAGTAGTTAATAAATGCCAATGGGGTCCTGCCTCACTGCCTGTGGCCAAGGCAGGCATACTATTAGCACTCCCCCTGACCTGGTTATTGTTAGTAGTAGTAATAGTGGTGGTGGCAGTAGCAGTAGTAGTAGTATTGGTGGCACCAAAGGTATAAGTAAAGGTATATGACCACCAGGGTGCCCAGGTGTTCATAATGTTATGGCTGATCGGTGTATATAAGCACCCATTACAGAAGCGTTATCTAGGTTTTTTCCTTCTTCATCTTCTGTGCCCTCACTTGGAACACGGACATGCATAAACCTAACTTTAACCCTAGCCCTATCATATCAACGAAACACACCTGTAACCTGTAACACGGAAATTCCACCGAGCACGGCATTATAACAACGCATCTGTAGCAATAAAATAAAATGTGAATGGGGAAAATTCAATCTGAATGCAACTTTAGAATTGTAATATGTCATTGTTTCTGTGTAACATATTTGTGGAATGAAATTAAATTTCACCATATTTCAAAGATGGAGCTGTAACTACCCAAACACTACCCAAACAGCTGATCTGTGTTGTGATACAGTGGCCCGGCGCATTTGTGCCTTTGTATAGGAACACAGAAGTACTACCGTTAGTACAAAAGAAAAAGGCTGTCGGTGAGACAAAGGTGAAAATATTCTTAATATAGCTACACTTAAACTGATATGGATTTTTTTAAGGCGGGCCTTTTTTATGTGGCTCGATACATTTTACACAACAGTGAGTTGCTCTGCTTCCCTGCCGGGATCCCTGCCTGGTTCTCCAGACTACTGCAGTGGCAGACTCAGGCTGTTTATGGGGCAGGGCCAAAAAAAATAAAAAGGGCACCAGTGAGCTGAAGGTTGTGATGCATTCAAGGTAAAACTGCTTAGTCAGGGTTAAGGTTAGCACCAGAATGCTCATGGCACAATTAGTAACAATTCTCCTAACTAGGGTGAGACAACCAGAATGTGAATACATGAGGATGAACATACATGAACATAAAATATTATACTGTAAGCCTGTAAAATTAAACATGGAATAACAAAACATAATATAGTTTGCTTATGTTCACAGAACCTTGTCCCTGAATGCATTTTCAGTTAATAAAACGTTCATAGTCAAAGATCAAACTAGGATCACTATAGATTACAATCAAAACCACTAACCCCATTTCAGATCCAGAAGGGGATCTGGGGTAGCACTGGCCACCCCTGAAATCTGATTTGCCACCCCAAGTGCCACCCCATTATCCTTACCTCTTCCACTCCAGTCTTTCAGAGGCTGTAGTGGGCTTGTCATATGAACCTAGATGACCTAACACACCCACTGGTATCAACCATAAACAACGCTCTTAAATTAGGCAACATTTTGTGATGGAAAAACTGGCATGGCCATTTTCGATCCCTTGACCTCTAACCTCAAGATACCTGAATGATAATAGGTTCTATGGGTACCCACAGGTCTCCCCTTTGCGCCATAAACCACTTAGCTAATCCATGCAATATTTGCACAAAAACAGTAAATTCAAGTGTTTCTTTTAAGGTGGACTGGGGCAGCTTGTTTCACGCACTGACAGCATAAAGACAGAGTAAAGTCCTGAGAATCCTTAATCATCACCTACTGGCTGAGATCCAAAGATGTCATTAACAGCTCGATTACTAGATATATCAGTCTCGGTGTGGACAGGACAGCTGGCCGTAGTCTCTGCAGTTTTTCTTGCCATATGCACTGGACTGATCAGACAGCGGGAGGGTGTGAAGGTCACTTTGGTGTCAGTGAGGCAGATGTCTCTGTGGACACGATGCCCCTGGAGAGATCCAAGTTTGTGGTTAAAAGAGCTTCAGCAGTCAGAGCAGAGCAGGGTTCAACTGCACAACACATAGCAGCGGGAGGAGCTGAGGGGAATTTTAACACCAGAGTTTAACTGAAACACAGCAAACATGAGGCTTCCACTT